AACAGGTATCGAGGTGCCCGATATTGCGGATAAATCGAAATTACTCGCTTTCCGTTTCCGTGCTCCCTCCGGGCTGGAAAAAGAGTCTCGAAGCCGGACTCTCGGATTCACCGAGTTCCCTGATAACTCTTCGATCTACAAATCTTGCAGATCACTTTGCGCTCCCCCGCACCTCGGATATGACAAAACCCAACGTTGAGTATTTTATTATTCCTTATGTTTTTTATTTATAAATTGGAGTTATTCTTGATTGAAAAAAAAAAAAAACTACTCATACTTTTACCAACCATTTCGAACGAAATAATATCACTGTTTTGCCCGTGCCACGTGTTTTAATCGTCGTGTAAACCCTTTTTCTTTTTTCTTTTTTTTTTTCTAATAAATTACACAATTTTTTGGGGATTTCTTCTGGCCATGAAGAATTGAATTTGTTCCATCAACTGGGAATAACGGTGAGAATCTAAGATATCGATAAATCCTCGAGATATCGAGATCATCTTTGAAGCCCCCTGATCCAGAGCAGAAGATCTTATCGAGACTTTTTTGGCCCACTGTATCTTGAAACGGTCGATTCCACGGTGCACACTTCGGTCTCTAGATTGCGATCACGTACACACCGGGGCTCCTTACGGTGTCCTGTATTGTCCGTGAAAAACCAATTTTGGAACGGTCCCATGTCGAGTCCATCTTGGCATCCGCGATCCGCCCAACTCCCCCGTCCGCATCTGCAACGTTCTGCCGCAGAATCGCAACGATCCAGCCGGCCCCGGGGCGCCCTGGCCGGCTCTCAAATTGCCCGATTTTGGCCTAGACCTTTGGCTTGGAAAATCCGATATCTCTCATTGTGTCAGCCGACCGTAAACCTTTACTACTTACACGCGAGAGGAATTTTCCGGAAGACGTCCTGGACTTTCGCGAGGCCTTCCGGCTCCTCTTACCGAACGTTGTCGAGGCCTTGATAAGGGACTCTTTCGTTAATTCATGCACGGCAATTTGATTAAAAGGCTCGGAAATTGACTCTTTTAAAGCGGCAGTCTATTCACGAGGTTAAATTAATTTTTTTTTATTTTTTTTTTTTTTGTTGGTTTTCGCTCCTACAGGCGTGTTTATGACCGTTTGATGGGAAACGTTCATGCACTCCAGTTGACGGTACCTAGCCTGGGAATAGGCCATGAAACTATCTTTATGTTTGGGATGACTATAAGTCGTCTTTCGTAGGACTGATATAAGGGGTATTCATTCGGCCCGATGCGTCAATGACTCTAAATAAATAAGCGCTTTCCGCCGCGGAGTGTACGTTTACGTTAGCGTTTCCTCGAAGTAACTCTCCAAGCTGGAGGATAGTAGACCCAGAACGGCAGACGCAGTCTGCGATTAATGAACATGGCGGGCAGTTTCATTCAATAGCGACGTAATGCCGTCTAGTTGCGACACACCGAGAGAGCTAATCGAGCGCTCAGTCTTCTCTTTCCTGTTAATAAAATGTACGGACGGAAGAGCCATTTGTTTTTTAGAGCGGGATTTATCTCCCACTTACGTTCGGCCCAAAGGGCACATTCGGCCCCAAGTTCTGAGTGAGTAATTTCACATAAATTATTCCCATTTCATTTAAATTATTCGTCATTCCTCGTGTCTCGTAATCGCGATCTCGCGTGAGAGGGAAATAGGACCAAAAGAGGGTTTACTTAATTTGCGCGGTCAAAGGTAGGCCCTTCTCAACGGTTTTCCATTTTTCTTTTTTTTTTCTTTTTTCTTTTTGAGCTTTGCTGGGCCATTTCATCGCGGTCTCAACGACCGGATGGTCGAACGAAGTTCAGCCCACGATCGAAGTCCCTTCGGATGCCGAAGCTTCGTGACTGGGGGGCTTATAAACAGCAAAAGGCATTTCCGTCTTCGTCCGAGGGCGGAATGCCGGAAGGGTGGCGGGGCCTCGCCTTTGTAAGGTCGCACGCAGTTCCTGTACCCTCGTATCGTCGAACCCTCGACCGCTCGAAAAATGTCGATTCCCGGGCCGACCCTATTTACCGGGACTTTCGGAGTGTAAAATGCGATCTCGTGGTAGACCGGAAGCCTTTGCGGTCGGCGTTAATGGCCGACGCTAAAGGAAAAGAATTCCGCGCACCGTTGCCCGTCCCGTAGGTAGCGTCATCGCCGAGGCGCTCTCGTCGTCGGGGACAAAAAAAGGCGTAACCTGAGAATTTCACCAGGACACTCGGACTTTTCTTCTCGTACGTCCGTCTAGGTCTTCTTCCAACTTGGCGAGGAGATGTCAGTTTTTTTTTTTTTTTTAAGGACGGTTTTTTAAAACGTGAACGACGTGTCTGTGTTGTCATTCCTCGCGTGTAAAGAGCAAGAAGGAGATAACCATCGCTAGTGAGGCATCCCGAGAAATTATCGACAGATATTTCTCATTCTCATTTAGTTCATTAAGGTGAAGTCCCCTTCAAATCAGTCGATTCAAATACAACACTTTTTTTTAAGGGTATTGGACCAAACTGTCTGAAACTTTGACACATGACTCGTGATCATCTAAAAATTGTCCTGACACATTCAAAACTTGGATTTTTTAACAAAATTTTCTAACTCAACCCAGACCAGAACCAAAATGGCGTCGAGCTCTCGTATTTCGATCAATATACAATTATCGAAGGCTCTGATATGAGAATCGAAAGGGTCAGGACAATTTAGAACACTCTGGTAATCCATAAACTCGCATTTGAACGGGGTAAAGGCAAAAAAAGTGTTGTATGCGCTTCTATGCCACAACGATGGAAATACGAGGTCTCGGAGTGAAAATTTAATTGACCTGGAAATCACAGATGGCGCAGGGGGTCCCTCCGCAGTCAATTAGGGCCCCAGAAGGCATGAATCCAGAGGATTTCTTGAGTTTTACTTCGACTTCTTTATAATTATTGTACGAANTTTTAATTCAGTCCAGACCAGAACCAAAATGGCGTCGATATCGACGTCGATTAAGTTCCTCGACGTGTTTCACTTCACCTTAAGAACAGTGCACTTTTCTTCCTAGAAATTCCATTCCAAAGCATGTTGGACATGTGAATGTGAGGTGGAGCTTTGATGCGTTAATTTGGGCTTTTCTAGGTTGTCGATGATAGTTTGTCCCGAGAAAATGAGTCGAAGGGAAGGGCACCGAAGTGCCTGGCAAATGTGTCAGGTATTCCCAGAATGTAGGTGGGAAAGTCGACGGAAGAAACTGCGTATAGCAAGGTATAGACGACGAAGGTATTCTTGGACGAGGGTTTTTCAACACGTTCGCCTGGACTTTTCCACGTCATGTTAACGCGTCGCATTGCATAAAGAAAGTGAGCTGGAGGGAGGCACGGGTAATGACCGACGGAGGATGTAAGGCATTCGTTGCATGTAGCCGGAAGGGGTAGATGGGGTAAACCGCGAATGACGATATATATGCATATATTAGCCGTAGAAAGTAGGGACGTATACTCTCGTCTAGGTTTTCCCATTACGCGCGGGAGTCACTTTTTATTATGAAAAGTGGAATACTAGAAATGACACGGCAATGACTGGGAAATAAGGTCAGGCATTCGCTGCCGCGAGTAGCTGGAGGGCCGGCGAAGAAAACGCCGGATGGGGCGGGGTATAACTTGAAAAATTTAGTAGGGCAAAGTAGTAATACGCTCTTTGGCCTTTCCTATTTCACGCGGATGTCACTATTCATGAGAAAGATGAAATAGGAGGACCGACACGGCAATAACTGCGGACTGACGTCAGATATTCACGTACGGAGTCGGTGGAGGCGACGGAGTAAATTGCAAATGTCGAGAATGTAACGCTAAAAAGCTTAGAAGGGCGATGCAATTGCAGCCTTGGCCTTTCTTTTCTTCGTACGGGTTTATTTTTATTTATTTTTTTTTATAGCGCAACTTAATTCGAATATGTCGTCATTGAGGAATATACATGTTTTCATCGGATTAATCGGTAGGAGAGACTGCAAGAAATGGTTAGAAATGAAATGGACTGAATTTCAGGTTTCTTCGCAGCCAGCGTTCTATTTTCCTCCATCATTGTACGTTCTATAGCTCTCGATTTCTATTTTGATCGTTATTTTACAAATACGACGTACAAACGCTGCGGTAACGATCCGGCACGATGTCACGTTCTGGCTGTCGATACGTACCAACTCGTCGATGTAAACTATGAAGTGTTAAGAGTAACATTAGAAACTTAAGTACCTAGATACAGAATATGTTCACGGTGATTTTCAGTACCTGCTTGGTCGTACTATTATTAACGAATTCAGATAGGCTTCGACAAGTACTGATAAATGTGCCCATAATTATGAAAGTGGTCTAAGTCATATATTTTTTGTTTCGAAATTACATTGAATTAATTTAGTTTGAAATAATGTGGCGTGAAATAACTGATAAACTCATTTTTTTTTTAATTTTGACTTAGACCACTTTCATAATTATGGGCACATTAATGAAGTACCCGAAACGTAACAAAGTGAATTGTAAATTTCCGTTGAGCGGTACGTCACGGAACACGGTATAGTTTACGTGTCAGTATTACGCTATAATAACCGGCTTCCGATGTCGGTGTATTTTTTTTTTTGCCATTCATGACGTGAGTGTGATGTAAGACCACGAGTAAACTATGAAAGATCGTTCATGGCCTTGGATATGTAACACTGGATGTTGGATCGCATTTTTCTACCTTTCGGGTGGAAACTTAATACCTTTGTAAAATCCTGCAGCGTGTAACAACGAAGTTAATATATTTATAAAAGTTGCAAAAGTTTATCTAGACCGTCACGTTGGAAGGATTTATTCTTCGCAGTTTTTTTTTCTCTTCCTCTTATATATCACGCATCCATGTATATGTTCTCCTCGAAAAGATGTCGCCACATGATTTTCGTTCGATAAACCAGGTCGCCGGTTAAATGTTTACTCGGCGATCACGGAAATATCACTTTCTCTTCCTAATCTAATCTTTTAACGATTCAACGTTTTCGCTTACAGGCTGACCAACTCACGGAGGAACAAATCGCAGAATTCAAGGAGGCGTTCTCGCTGTTCGACAAGGACGGCGATGGCACCATCACCACCAAAGAATTGGGCACGGTCATGCGTTCTCTCGGACAGAATCCCACGGAAGCTGAGCTCCAGGATATGATTAACGAAGTCGATGCCGATGGTACCGCTCCGAGAGACTCGCTTTCATTTCAACGGAATCCCTGACGCCCCTAAGAAATGACAAATAGTTAACATACAGAATTAGTCGGATACTTCGATCGCGAAGATATTCATACGATTACGTCTGCTTTAAATTAATTAAGGTGAAGTGAAACATCCTTCAAATCAGTCGATTCGGATACAACACTTTCTTTTAAGGGTATTAGACCAAACTGTCCGAAACTTTGACACATCACTCCTGATCATCTAAGAATTGTCCTGACACATTCAAAATTTGGATCTTTCAAAAAAATCTTTTAATTCAGTCCAGACCAGAACCAAAATGGCGTCGAGCTCTCATATTTCGATCAATATACAATTATTGAAGGCTCTGATATGAGAATCGAAAGGGTCAGGAGAATTTTACGACAATTTAGAACACTCTGGTAATCGATAAACTCGCATTTCAACGGGATAAAGGCTAAAAAAGTGTTGTATGCGCTTCTTTGCTAAAACGATGGTAATACGAGGTCTCGGAGTGAAAATTTAATTGACCTGGAAATCACAGATGGCGCAGGGGGTCCCTCCGCAGTCAATTAGGGCCCCAGAAGGCATGAATCCAGAGGATTTCTGGAGTTTTACTTCGATTTCTTTATAATTATTGTACGAAAACGACAGGTGGAATATGCCATTTGGTACAATACACAATATAATTCGACCTAGCTGTCGATATAAAAACGAACGTCGGCAACGTAGGCATTTAGACAAATTTTCTTTATCGACGTCGATCAAGTTCCTCGACGTGTTTCACTTCACCTTAAGTTTCTCTAGGTATTTGTTATACCGCACCTTTGTAATATGAGGACCATGAGAGAGTACAAATTACGTATAAGTTGCAAGCGTAGCGTTAATGAGAAAGGACGGGAAGAAGTCGCCTTCGTATGAAATAATTCGATGACTCGGGACGTTAGGAATGATATTAATTCTTAATTGTTCAGGACGTTATTCGTTGAGTACTTTGTCGGTTAATTGTATGAAAACACGTTCGGCGTATCCGGTATTTTTTCTCAGGATCTCGACGTTGAAATGAAATTCATGTTTTGGTGTGTTCCCTGTTAACAGAAGTCAAACGATAATTACTTGGCCTTGTACAAGTCGGATTACCCGGGGAAGAAACCGTAATTCTTATCTTATCGCGGGAAAATTAGATCGTTAACAATCGGGCTTTGTTGAACGCGAGGCATTGAGTAATCCCGAGTTCCGTGATATCTTCGATCTTTAGATTCCAAGAGTTAAGTCATCGCTTTTAAGAGACGACATGGAATCGAGTTTACCTTTTTTTTTCCTCTCGGACTCGTAAGGGGCGTCAGAGGTATTTGGCCGAATACGCTGAAACCAAAGTGCGAGTGTTACGGTTTTGTTTGTGTCACTCCAGGTAACGGAACAATCGACTTCCCTGAATTCCTGACCATGATGGCGCGTAAAATGAAGGACACCGACAGCGAGGAAGAGATCAGGGAGGCTTTTAGGGTGTTTGATAAGGATGGAAACGGCTTCATATCCGCGGCGGAGCTCAGACACGTAATGACAAATCTTGGCGAAAAGCTCACCGACGAGGAAGTCGATGAAATGATCCGGGAGGCGGACATCGATGGAGACGGTCAGGTTAATTACGAAGGTAATGGAGAGGACAATCGGCGAAGACTTGTAGAGGGCCTTGGAAAATCCATGGAGGAAAAAAGGGTAGTCGTTTTAGGGTAATTTTCGCGTTAAAATCCAATCAATGAAAGCGTTCAAAGGTTAAATCGACACATTATCGATGGTATTTCCTGCTGAAATTGTTCCATGGGGAATTGTTTTGTGGGGAAGTAAGCTGGGAGGAAATGAGCAAAAAAGTTCAGAAAGCACAATGGGAGTAATTTAGTTGGAAGGATTAAAAGCTTCGATGTGGCTCGTAAGGTTCGTGAGGAATTATTAGTATCGCGATGCCCTTTGAATCCATATATTTCGTAATGATTTTCAAAATAATTACCGAAAATATGTGCCTTCGGTTGCAACACTTGACTGACGATTGTTTATTCGAAATTTTCAGAATTCGTCACAATGATGACATCAAAGTGAATGTAACCTATGCACTGGGAAAACTCGCGACTAGGAGTGGTGTTGACGTACTAAACAAGAAAATACTAAAACGATCCAACAAAAGTGAAAAACCTTGTACCAGGATGTAAAGAAGTCTTTAACGCGAGAGGTCAACGTCCCGTTCGACACGCATTAATCATCGTTAACGATAAGTAATAAGGGCAATTAATGATTTAATTAAAGTTAAAGAGTATACCACCAGCCGTCATCTCTTGACACTTACACTTGCCGTGTGCGTACATACACACGGGCATGCGCAACATACATACACGACATTCGCGTCATCGGTAAGTGAGCATCTTGGTTCTTTTCTTTTGTTACATTTACGTTTCTTTTCTTTTCGTCGATCGTCTCTCGAGAAAAGAAGAAGGTGTTATATACACAGGAACCACTCGCTGATCAAAACTGCATTTCCGCTTTCTACACTTTTTCTCTCTTTGTCTCTTTCCCCCGTCTCGATGCCTTTCTCCGTCTCTCTTTCTCTCACCGAACCTCGGGTGATAGTAAATTGCAAGGAAGCCACGGTCGATCTACGCTAGCGAGAGAAAGAGGTGCACGGGGTAGGAAGGGTACCAGGAAAAAAAAAAAATTAGTTCGGTAGATGTTCTCTGAGACTCTTTGAATAAAGTTTGATGCACTTTTTCAATTAGGAATTAATTACAAGATGGTTGCTAAAGCGTCGTTCAATAATGGATTGTAATCGTATTTGCGATAACTCATCAAATTTTGTTCAAAGCCCGGTGTACATTTTTTTAAAGGATTATATGTGTATCAAATTAAATTAGGATTACTCCCTCTTGTTATCGTCACCACCGATGTTATCTACGTACCGAGCATTGCGTTCCTCTTCTTATTTATAATGCTTCGATGATATGCATATTATACTTTAACTAAAAGGATTCGTTTCAAAAGTCTCTTTTATAGGAATGACCGTTACTCGTGGTAGAAAATTGTTACGTGAATTATCAATTTCTCCCGACGTGACGGGAGCATCTCTCGATGTCTCACAATAGTGACTTAAAGAAGTGTGTAGTGACTTGTGATTTAATTTATATAAGTAACGCGCAAGAAAATCTGTAAAAAAAATTGTAGCAGAATACCACGAAGCCTTGAAGAGATGAAACCTCCTTTGTCTCGACCGGTGCATCTCTCCGTTACGTTTGTATCTTTGTGGGTATATCTTCTACTTTAATTGCTACGTACGAGTACGACTAAGTTTGTCGTTAAACGAAGGGAAACGTCTAGATCTAAAGTCCTCGACATTCCTACTTAAGAACTTTCGAGCTCCGATGTCACTCCACCTGTTCGCGTGCGATACACAAGATGCCGTCTGCCTCCTTTTTCTTTTCCCACCCAAATATATCCTGCCTTCCAAGGAAAATCATGTATTCGTAAACGTCGACACCACTTTTCTTGAACCACGAAGAAAGAAGGACGGATACGAAGAATCGATCGGTGCACTTTCTGGGGTGCGTGCCAGTTCGATGCAAGAGTTACGAGAACTGGCGTTGTGACGTGCGTTAGTACGATGTTACTTAAAAGCTTAAGAGCAAGCAGGACACCGAACGATACAACATCGAACGTGTCGGTGGTTCAGTCATAATATATATGTAATATATATTATATATAATTAAATTAAAACAAAAAAAGAATTCCTCCACAGTCCTTTATTATTTAATATGAAAGAACGAAATGAGAATGAGAAGTACTTGTATTTCTGGTGACCTAGATCGCATTGATCATAAAAGACAAAATAAATGTATCCTCATTTTTAGGTCACAGACCAGTTGTTCGCTTCTACGTTATTACACCTTTTACGTAAACTACGGCGTCCTTTATTCTAATATCTTTGGTAAGTTTACCGATGCTTTGGAAAACATTTTGTTGTACCCAACGGAGGGGAATTATTTTAGAATGTAGATTTAATTCTTCGGATAAAGTTAACGGGCCATTATGGCAGTGTTTTATTTCACTAGGGTATTTCTTTTTTTGTTATACGCATTCTGTTAACAAATTCTACTGCTATTAATGGAGACTTTTTTTTCTGGAACGTCTCACATTTTAATAAGTAGAATAAGGGTTGCATGAAAACATTGAATGCTTGAGATTAAAAGAAAAAGGCAAAATTTACCGTTTGTTTGGCATTAAATGAGCATTGTTGATGGGAGTGTTTTATTTTCTACAGATTTCGAAGTCATCTAAAAAAGAGATACAATTATTAAAGAAGTGCGAATATAGACGAAACCTATATCAAATTTCTACATTCCGAGCTAATCATATTTAAGTTTACACTGAGGTAAAGCTTTTGTCAGCTGGTCCATAATAGTATCTTTATTTTTAACATATGGCATGCCTCCAAGTTTCAGCACTTTCAGATTCCTAAAATGTAATAATTATCTAAATGTTTTGATACCTCATATATTCTGATACTGATTTTTATACTTAATGTAACTACAGAATTGTGTTTTCATGCTCTTATACAAACTACATCAAGCTAGAAAATGCGGTTCATTTATGTTGTAGTAATTTAACGTACGACAGATTTTTTAAGCTGAATAAACCTTCTTCGGTTACGTTTGCACAATCCAAGATTTCAAGATGAGTTAAAGATGTTTTTAAAAAAGATAGTTTTGGTAGAGCTTCGTCTTCTACATAAGAGCAACGTATGAGTTTAACATCCTCAATAAATTTACATCCCCCTGCAAAAATTCAACATCAGAGTATAATCATTGTAATGTTAGTTTATCGATGCTGACTGAAGTGTTGAAAGCCTGAATGGTGAATTGCTGAATCTGTAGCATCTACAGCTTGAATGTAGAAACGCTGATTTTCTGGTGGTAAGGAATTGTAATCAGCCATATACTCATTTGAGTTCTTCCATAGGACCGCAGCTCCGTTTCTCAAAAGCCACTCTGCACAGGCCCGGTCGGGCCCCAGTTTAGCAAGTCTTTCTTCGTCGACGCTTAAAATATTAAATTGGCTTTATGCAAAGTCACTTACTTTAACATTAATTAATGCATTGTAGGTTGCTAAGCTTTCACCTAAATATCTACAAGATAATAATTTAAAATAAACAGTATATTAAAGCATCGGCATTTCCATTCATATGTTCAAAGGCAAACTAAGATGCTTTATTTCCTTCTGTAGTTAAGAATAATTAATAAAATAATTTAAAAACATTCAAGTGAAAGATCAGCGACCTGTCATTGTCAAGTAGTACGTTAACACTTTAATGACCAGACACAAACTACGTTCTTTCATTTTTGAAAGTGGGAAGTGCGTACCGGTTAAATACAAGGGTGACCCAATGAAATAGGGTACGCTTGTTTGGAAGTCGAATTGAAAGAGCACGTGACACATTTTTAACATCGAGGCACTTCATGTACTTAGCTCAACGGAACAGTACAAAATACGATCAAGAGACGAAGGGTATGTACGTTGTAAAAAACGGAAGGACGAAACTGGACGAAACCGCACGAACTCACCGGGAAGGAAGTGGCGGTCATTTTACGTTTTAGTAAATGTGTCAAATTCCTTGTCAATGTTTAAATTGATGGTAAGTACGGATGTACATAATTGATACCATATTATATACATTTTAATATGCAGTACATTTTGAATAAGACACTGCATGCTACATATTTAGAATAGTTTTTGATATACACTATGCGCAAGCGCAGACGGCGATCAGATGATGCAATATTTTGAATTGATTTTAAATGCAATAGGTCCTTTCTCTGTCATTTTGTCAGGATTGACAGGCAAGTGACGGCGAACAATCATCATAACACAACGATCAACATAATTTTAAAATTATATTGGAAGTATATTTACATTTTCCAAAGTACAATAGTAATATTTGTAAATATTTAAGACATTCTCAATGTATATATACATATAAATATAAAATCATAAGAAAATTATCCGATACTTAAAAATATTCGCAGTATTATACAATTCTTATTAGATAATTACATTACTGGATTATTAGATTTCATGTATACACATGTTTTACATATGTATGTACATTGAAAATGTGTACACTTTTCTGGATCAAATTTTAGAGATACAACAAATTAAGGATTGTCTCAAATCTAAAGATAGTGCAACTACAATTCAAACTTTATGATTAGTCAATACGATTCGTCATTCCGTTATTCTCTAAATAAGAAAATTCAGAATAAAATGGACCAATGGTGTTTTACAATAATATATCTTATATTGGTATGTGTTGAGCAACCATGTTTACTGTATATGAATATTCAATGAAATGTTAGTCTTGTGCAAAATTAATCTATAAAATAGATTTATCTTCTTTGATATTGATTTAAAGGTTGTAAAATTCCAGTTGTTATAGAGTCTAATACCCAAATTTCTTTTGTTCCATCGGGACCAATTGTCACCTTGGCCTTTTGTGGGTCCTCAGTGATTCTTCCACCAGCAGTCTTTATTAATTCCTTTAAAATTGGTGTTGGTGGAGTTGTACCATTCTGTACATATATCACTCCACAAGTTGCAAAAAGCTCCGGAACAAAGCATGCACCAAACAGCTGGCGATCCTTTCGATTCTCCTAAAAATAACACAAATATTCACAGTATTTTAACGAATATAATAAGTACAACCTTATAATGACAAATTTTAGTTTTTAGAAGACTTACAAGCACAGCTTTAGAAAAATGAGTTAATTCGTATTTTTCTGGGTTCAACCATCGCCTTGACTCCAAAGATTTAAAAACCCATTCGAGACTGATCAACCAGCAGCCTCTTATAATAGCTCGAAGTAAATTAATTGTACGCACACCAGTAGTTATGACATGCGTTGTACGTCTTGTTACAGTTGCTTCGATTTGAGCAGAGCCAATGGTCTGTACTATTCTTTTCACGGTACCTTTATCCCTATAATAATATAAACATTTTATCATATTCTACAAGGAATAGTACTGTGACTTTAATTTAATAAAATCTTACTCTCTTGATAGTCCTGTGGTAACAATGACTATTCCCTTAGTTTTCTGTACATCTTTTGAATTTTTTTGGCTTGATTCAAAATCCTGCGACGACTGTCCTAATCTCACAGAATTTTCAGCCTGTTCTTGTGTGATTGCTGAGCAATTTCTTAGTTCATCTAATATATCTAAATTCATAGGTTTCTTCACTATAATTTTTTTACTTAAGATTTTTCTACGTTTTTTAGGTTTTTCTTTTTGTGGTTGATCGATGCTTGAATATATATGCAATAATAATTCGTTGTCATTTGTTTTACTTTTATCGGTATCCTTCTTCTTAGCATCATCATTAATTACTACATGTTTTTTAGGAAGTTTATTTACTTTATTGAATATATTTTTAGGCTTTCTCTTTCTTGGAGTTTGAGATTTATTTTCTAAAGGACTAAAAACTACTGGTTGGGAGCTATCGTGCAAAGGCAGTAATTTTTTTTTTTGGTTCAGGACTTTCTTTTTTCTTGATACGTTGGCAGGATAGGAGGGTGTTTCACTTTCATTGGAAGAAAGTTGGTTCATAGAATCTTGGATGATAACACGTTCTCTACATTCATTATTTCTTGATTCATTCGAAGATGTTGAATAATTCAATATTGATGAATCAACTAATTTTAGTGATCGGTTCCTACTTGTACGTAAAGTTACCTGTTCACCATTTTTTTCCCCGTCACTAAAAGTAATTAAGTAAAAACTATTTAGTTAAATTTCTTACGTTTCTGCCCATAAGAGTAATTATAATACAAATAAAATATACATACCTTATGTGCCTTTCATTATTTATGAGATGATGTGAAGATTCATGCTGGCAGCTTCCTTGTTCATTGGCCAAAGTAACTGTCTTTTGTACATTTTGATTTTCGTTTGTTATACTACATTTGTATTGTGATCTCAATAACATCGATCGGCTTATAGGATATGGTGTTCCTTCAATGTAACTTTTCCCTCCAAAAGAAGAAGAACGTTTACCTCCTCTACTTTGATTATTATGAGAACCTTCCTCTATTGCATTCTTTGGATTATTCTTATCTGTACTTGTAGAATTAGACTCTGACATTCGTTCCTTCGTTAAAGAAATATTTCGTAATCTCTCAATGATAGAAATATTTTCTAAGGAAACAAATTCATTTTCTCGGTCAGTTTCTGTACTATATGGTATATCGGTATTGGTTAAAGAATCGTTTTGAATTCTATCTTCACTCTTTTTTCTCGTGAGTTGATTCTTATCTTTATTTTGATCTCTTTGATTTAATGAATCATGTACAGGATTAAGAGATGTATTGACCTGCAATGAACTTTGAACTGTAGTTGTGCTATTCCTAATTTTGAGACAATCGTCGGGTTCTTGTATCTCTAAATTTGGATCTAGAGAAGTGTTAACGTTCAAAGAGGTTCGAATGGTACTGTCACTATCTTCTTTGCTGCGTTCATCATTAACAACAGTGTCCCTAACAGATAACACATTCGACAAACTCTTGCTATTAGAAATAATTTTTCCTTGAACTGTTGTCAACTCCATTGGTACTTCTTCGTAAGTATTCTGACTCTTCGTAGATTGTTCAGGAACTGTGTGATGTCGGGTTGAACTTGAGACACACTCTCCTTCTTTATGATTATTACTTTTATTTTTACTTGAAACATTACCTAATTTATTTTCCATAATATTTCTACTTTCCTTTTTACTTGCACAGATCCTTGGGATTTGTGTAGCATCTGTAATAGTTTTATGATATGCCCTTTCATCATCTTCAGAGTCATTAGATTTATTACAATCACTACTGTTTACTTTGCTGTCAAGAGTGTTCACATTACTATTTGCATGTCTAACGGATTTCTTTATTAAAGAAGAAGAAGTAATGGGAGATCCAAGAAATAAATTCTCTTTAGTTTGTATTCGCGATACTGATGTTCTTGTGCCATTTGATAGATTTTTAGCACTCCTGTAAGGATCTGATACCTTTTTGTTTGTTTCAATGTTACATGAATTAGTAAACACATTCTGAGACAAGTGCGACAATCTTGTGCGATTCAAAGTAGTACTACCACAACTTAATATAGGACTATTGCTATTTTGAGTACATCCAAATAATCGATTGGAGCAACCATTTCCACTTAAAATTGGGCTGGTACCATTATTAGAATGAACTTCTGATTTCTTATATATGTTTTCATTTTCATGATTAGTTTCTCTCTGATTTGCGGGTGAGCTGGCTAAATCATCTTCATTGGAAAATAGTTTTTTCCTTAAAGAATTAGTTTTTTCAGAAGATACAGAAGAATCACTTTGCCTGTTCCTCCAATTTATTTTAGGTGTACTAATAATGCTTTCATCACCATTTGTACAACTCTCAGGAATAGTGTTTAAATGATTCTCGGCTGTCAAATAATTTGAAGGAGTATCTCGTAAAACATTTCTTTCATCTCTGCTAATAAGAGGTACCCGATTATTTAACATTGAACTCTTGGATGAATTATTTGCCCCGATCAATACATCGGCAGTTTTTATTGAAAGTTCATTCTGTTTATCAAATAGTTCTCTAGTTTTCTGTAAAATTGCATTCTTTAATTGTTCACAAATCTTACCCTGAGATTTCTCTTTCTTGTTTATATCGATTAAAACTATGCTAAGATTTTGGGTAACTTTGGGTAGCTTACGAATTCTTTCCGTCGTTTGTATACTTGTTTTGGATGCTACATTAGTTTTAATTGATTCTTCTACACTGGAATCATTTTCATTTCTATTCTCTTCATTGGAAACATTTGTGTTTCCAATGTTATCGTTACTATGATTACGTGTATTATAACGTCTACTTGCAATACGTCTGGAACTTTTGCGAACTGTGATATTTCTCAATAAGTCATCTTTGGGATATTGTATTTTATCTATATCCTCGGTAACAGAAGTTGGCATATGCGGAAGATGGAATTTCCTCCTGCTTTCTTCCTCAAATTCAGATGAATTTGAAGTGTCACTAAGGTTAACTTTTAACGAACTCCGTCGATGCTTGAGACTATCTTTTTCACCTCGATCATCTTTAATGATCTTTCTTTTATTAGAACTCATCCTTGAAGCATTTTTAAGTTAATAATTACATTTGATTTTTACTATGTGTACATACACGTTTTGACAAATCGTGTCTGTCATTTCTGAAATCAACATAACGAGTAATAGCGGGTCCACTGCAATGCGAAGTCTAAATATCTCTAGTTTATGGTTGATATTTCATTACCGCTGAAGCGACGGAGCGACGAAAAGCGAATAAGTTTTGATTGACTGTGGTGAACGTACGCCGGAAATTCCCTATACCGTTGTTTCCCTTCAGCCAATCAGGACGTCTCATTCGCGTTTCGTCGGTCCGTCGCTTCTCGCTGTAGCGTTAATGAAATATCAGCCTAAGAATAAGTGGGAAATTTCGAAATATTATTCCTCGTTCCTGGTAGTGATGAATGAAACCATCGGACGTTTTCATAATATTGTTTTAAATTCCCTGCGTTATTTTGTAGCATTTCACGACTGTGAATTTCGTTAAGTGTATAACATATTATAGTTTATGAAATGAGTAGTAGCTAACAGAATTTATCATTTTTGTTTTAATTTTTATTGTGGCTGCAAGAAGGGGGTAGATCATAAAATCGCAAAAAATGGCGGTACATTTGCACATAAAAAGTGAATTTATCGAAGGCGAAAAGGAATCCGTTTTGCATTTGATGCCTTGTAAAATTAACGGAGATGAGGCGGCAAAAGTATCTTCTTACTTTACTCCGTACATTCGAAATGACGGAGACGACTGTGAGTTTCTAGGTTAAGTACTGCCATACCTAAACAATATGACAAGTATTAATAAACGTAACATATATCTAATGCCGATTTTCAAAATCAACTGATATTAAATTTTGTTGCTGTAACAAGTTTCTTTTTGGAAATTGCAGATTTTAGTGCTTCCTTTCGTGGCTATCCACTTCAGGGTAAAAAGGTGGTAGTGCCTGAGGGCTATAAGGGAATTACATTCTATGAACGTAAAAAACCAGAATGTGAAGGAAAGGAACGTCATTTATATTGTACGGGATCATTTTCACAATTTACTTACTGGAATTACGATAAGATTCCTTCTAAAAATGATGCCCTAGCTGGTGCATTGGATTGGATAGATATTGCCGAAGCGGTAAATATAATTATACATTTTAATAACATTTGGTGGAAAGCACAGTAAAAAATGTATACGTTAACAATATATTAGATAAATGCTTGTCTATATGTTTTTAGTATGGATAGTCAGTAAATTAAATTGATAAATGATCTATTTTAATTGACTAAGCGATAACAAGTAATAATACAATTGTTTTAAATAAAGCCGAGTCCTATGGCAATCATAAAAGTTGTATTATTATTTTTACAGCTTCATTCAACCATAGATGATACAGATGTCAAATAACAGCTCACAAGAAATGATGATGTCATTAGGTGATTATATTATGTGAATTCATATTTTTTTCTTACAACTAACAATAAAACAGGATACAGATTGTTGCATATTTATTTGCATTAAGAGGCCCAAAGAAACTCTTTATTTACAGCAGTACTTTTTTGCGACTTAAATAATGGCATTAATACCACGTAACGTTAATTATCATTAATAATTATCAAGTACAAAAAACTACAGATATTTATATATGCATGAACATCTATTAAAAGATCACAATCTCGATTGTAAACTACATATTATATTTCAAGATGATACATAAACACTTGATTAAAGAAACGTGTTGAATAAAATTGACTCGCTTGGAAGAAAATTGTTACTATAGGTCCAGTGTCTCTAGTCCAATGAAATGCATTGTGAATGTTGCTCCTACTTCTAATCACATCTGTATTTTGATACATGATCTAATTATTTAATAATTCATCTATAAACTTAAAGATTATTATGTATCATAATGAAACAATTATTAAGTAAGTCAATACAGTATATGCTTGAGAGTCTTTTTATTCCTCAAAAGTAATAGTAAAATTGTGGTAGGAGTCATAAGAAATGTGTTAAAACTTTTGGGATATGTTCGCCGATTAATTCATTTTATAAATCAGTATCTGTAAGATCCTCCATTCTGACTATTCTATTTTCAAACATAGAATTTATAACAAATAATGATACTCAGAACATGTTCTCTATTCATAGTTAAATAATGTAAGTTATATATAATTCATGTATTTACAAATAAAAATCACTTATGGCAAGAATTGTACTGAAAGCCTGTGCAAAGATATTGATTATAAAAACAGAATTTATTTGGTTTAATTTATCATTTTGGTAAAGAACTGTCCAAAGGTTCAAAACAAAATAGCTCATCTCAAATAATTTAAAGTAGGATACTGTATCGAAAATTTTTCATAAAACAAACATAATAAAAATTCAATTTTGTTCAAATCATATGCAAATAATTAATAATGTATAAGAGTTTGTTGAGCTACTACAAATATTTAAAACTGTAAATTTGCGGAATTTATGTGAATGTGCCTAAATCATGAGTCTGGTCTTGATGGTATTTCACCTGTTCTTGCTGTTGTTTAATGAAAGCACTAAGTCTATTAAGTAAAAATTGTTTATCATGGCCTTCGAGAATCAGTTGATTTTTCAGAACTGTGACCATGTGCTTGTTAGCTACAGATACAGCGTAATAATAATATAAAAGTAATAAAAGTATCACAAATGCGGGTACACCAAATCCGGCGGTTCCCAAGAAATATAAAAAAGATTGAAGCCAGTCTGGAAAATGTGAGAATGTAGAGATTAATAAAGACCATGCACTGCTAAGTCCCCGGAAAGGTCCACACGACTTAGAAGGAATTAGTTCAACAATGATGAAGCCAAGTGGAATCATAATAAAAATGTAGGAAACCAGTAAAATAGACATAAATAATAAGTTGGACCTGCTCGCTCTGTACACTTGATTAGAAGGTGTACTGTTAACTAGAAAAGTGAATTTTTTAATGTAGAACAATAAAAATAATGCAATAATGGCTATTAGTGGTAATAATGGCGCAAAAAAAGTACCAAGCCAGCATACCGTTTGAGAATAGACGACATCTATTACATGCTTCGATAAGTCAAATTCTTGTTCACCAAGAAAGCGAATAAGTTTGTTTTCAGTATGACGAGCTATTAGCGATCTTGGGAAGTTTATAAAAAACGTAACAAAAAACTGAGCGAAAAAGTCAGTAATGTACAGTTTAAAAAATTGTTGTCCAGCGAACGTCTCCCAACATAAAAGTCTACTGTTAGTAATATTGATGCACTCATTTTCATCAAGTGTGTCACTAATAAACTTGTACAAGCTAGTAAGTAACATCACTAGAGAAATATAACGCAGCAAGATAGTTCGGAGTACAGTCACTTTTACAAGAAATGGAGCACTATATTTTTCTAGCGTAACAAGATATCTTAGTAAAAATGGAACCATTATATTTAGGCCAACTATGCAGATGTATGGTAGGAATTCGATAACCAATTGAATAATTCTGCCAAACGATATGTATGTCATATCGTAATCGCTTATAAAAATTGGTGGAGATACTCGGTTAAAGGATGACGTCGTGACATAATAAATAAATAACCCACATGTACCCAATATCGACACTATGAGGATATTGATAATCAGTCGTATAAAAAACAGCTTTGTTTTTTCTTCCCTTGTGCAGTTCTGTCTTTCCTCCTCTAATCTTTCAGATTCTAAAAGAGTCTTAATTTCGTTATATACAGCCTTATGTTTTATAGATGCTGACTTCTCGTTGTTAATGCAGTAATCCCAACCTCCGAAAACTAAGTTACAATACTGATAGATCTGTCCTTCTCCTTCGACGACTCTCTCTTTAAATCCCTTAGCAGCAGATCTTACAATGACCACTAAACTAAGAATCAGAATGGCAATTATGGAGCATATATATGCTAAAGGCAAATTATAGTAAATATCACTGCCATTAACTCCATGAATCTGATGCGTGTACATTCCATAGAAAAGCAAGGTATTCTCTAGGAAGCTACTATCTTGCATCGAGTTATCGATACTGTTCGACTCGTTGGACACATTTGAATACATTTCGGAACAGCAAGATATGCTGTAACTACTATTGATTGTGCACAGCTCGATTTCGGGTTTTTCTAATACAATAGTGGGTAGTATAACGAATGAAAAAATAATGGAAAAAATCGCGGCATTCAAAAATAACAACCACTTTATAAATAGAAAATAGGCTACGATGCCTACACCGAAATTACCGCCAATTTTTTTTAGACTCGTAGTCCATAGTTCCATTTTCGAATAAGTTTCTTTTACTCTTATACGAAATTGCTGCCATGCTTTCCTGCGCCGCCATTTCAACTGCTCAAAGCCTTGCAATCTTAATTTTGTAGCACTCTGGAAAAACAGTTTCAATGTCTTATTACAATTATTCCTGGTTATTTCATGTACACTGGATAGATCATGATCATCAAATGTATCATATCCATTTTATGATAACCATTCTAACACAGTTTTTGTTTAAGTACCTGTAATTGATTTTTAAGCTGCATCTTCTGAGCCATGCAAATAGGCATGGCTTTAATTTGCATTATTTCTTCCCACGTACGCTCTTCATTGGATAAATTTTCAGATAAGTCAGGTAACATAGCCACGGCAGTGTCATGAATGTTCGTAGACATTCTTCGAGCTGTGCTTGCACCTCGAGAACGCGTGCTCGTTCGTCTCCGCAATGTCGTTCTAGGTTCATTTCGTACTCTTTTTGATGTAGCTGAAGTAAAATAATAAATATTAATCCTAATATTTCCCATATTTTATGTTTGTGTTCTGTAGATTTTTTATTTAAATACTGACAATATTTTCATAAAAGAACTGATAGTTTCCCGTATATCTTACTGAATGATTGAACACGTCTATCTTCTGTAATATTAAAATAGTATTTTGATAACATAAAATGAATGTAGTAGAAAGTAAAATTTAAATGATTGTAATGGCTACTTATTAATACAAATAGAAGAAACATTAATAATGAAATGAAAATACCATGAGATATATATCATGGTCCTAAAATAGATAAAATCGGAGCGACTAAAAATTAGAATTCTGCGAATGACAGTAAGAATGATCATGAAAAAAATTCCTACCGACTCGAGACTTTTTGCTAGGGAGCAATGTAGCTATATGCGAAGGATCTCTTTGTAAAGCCTGCTGTAGATCTGCTTCGATAGCTGCTGGATAACTCTCTTGATAGAATTCAGCACCTGCTTCTTCCCATCCCTGACCTTTGTTCGCACCCCGTTTTTTTCTTTCACCTCCAGACATTTCGATTACTCTTTGACTGCTTAGCGATACAGCTACTTTCAGTTACGCAATTAGAGTAATCTAATGCAGAAAACTACTTTTGGCTAATAAACATGTGACACAGTTTCATTGCTTTCATCGTCTATATATATTAACGCTGGCAAAGATTCCATGTATGTAAAATAACTTTTGAACGCCTTGCAATGGGCAATTGTTCTCGTTAAACGGTTTCACTTACACTGCGTTATTATAATACAATCATTTTGTGACAGAAGCTTTGGCTTTCATCCGATCATGGGTAAATACGAGTACCTTCTATTACACGATTACTTTTTTTAAATATATGTACGATTCCTTTAATCGTATTTCGCCAGACATGCATGCGTTCATTCATAACTACAATGACTTTTTTATGGAGTGATTATGGATTTTAAACTTAAAAGTGACGTTCGTTGTTGCATGAGTACAGGCTTTATCACAGAAATTGAGAATACTGTTCACCTGGGCGTTTGGCTTATTGACTTATTGGACTTATTGGACGTAAGACTTATCGGGATTTACCGTAAGAAATTAGTATGGAGACTTCATATATAAACTCGGTGACACATGAGAGATCGAAGTCTTGAGTATGGTTATTCTCGGACACAATGATTTTGAGTAACATTCCCGACGAATTTTACACTGACTTTAACCAGTTACAGAATTCATAACCCTTGCGTTTCCCAAGTAACGCATTGCGGAGAGCTCGAAACCTCTCGTTAAAATGCACTCCGGCATCTTGTTATTGAAATACGTCAAACTTAGCAGACAACTGCAGCGACGATATTGGCTGTGATCACTGGTGATCATAGAATGTCAATTAGAGAAATTTTCATTCAAAAGTCAGACGCGATACTTGGTACTCGGCTGTCAGACGGCGCCACGTAAAATATATAAGTCGCAGGAAATCTCCATACGAGAGCAGCACAGGATGCGATGGCGTGTGCACGTCGATGAGCGAACTTTTCGTTCTGGCCATTTTTTAAGGAAAATGTTGCATCGTCGTCTAAACATAGTACGAAAAGGCCTACTGCAATATTGGGCGTATACTACCCAAACGGCGGGAACTTATTCCTCAACCTAATAGTTTAGTATCAAAACCCGTGATTCCTTATTTTTTCAACTTACCAGCAAAGATACATATCTATCGATATTTCTAATATTCCCCGACATCGGTAAACGCAGAGACGAATGGTTTACCGGAGTCGCGCAGAGATGGCGCCAGCATGGACTATATGGAGTCCCGACAGGAAAAGCTACATAACTTGGGGGGAAAAGTATCTTTCTACGAAAATATGTACAATTTGTGATACATATCCAGGTAGGGTTACAAAGTATAGGAATTATGTTTAAATACAATATCTTGACTTACTTATAAATGAATATTAACATCGAGTAACAGTCGACTAAGTGCTGATGCATTGCGTTTGTTTCAGCAGACGCGGAGTCGGATTAATATCGTTCTCTGATTTCAACGGCAACAAGGGGAAGTACCATTATCGAGGCTTAGGAATGACAAAGCGATAACTCCCGAGTTTTGGTAAGATAGGACTTCTTTATTACTAAGTGCCTTGTCACGAAATACTTAAAGTTGTTCTTATAACGAGTCTCCTTAAAATCGAAGTATGCATAATAAGCCGCGGCCAGGCAAGGATTGCGTGATAGGCTATGCAAATGAGTAAATGATAATGGGAATGAGGCTGCTACGGTGCCGTGCCGGAGCTCTGCGTGGAAGCCGACACTCCCGTTGGCAGCGGAGCGGCGGTCGGCACGTTTGGGGGTGCGTAAGGACTTCCGCAGAACTGGTCCGCGATTCGTCCACCCTCGCGAAGTCCGCTCAGGAATGCCCCGTGTACCGTGGCTGGATAATTGCGAATTGTGTGCTCTCCTGAAATGCAAATTAAAAAGCTCGGGGAATTCCCGGAAACCGGCACTTGCCAAGTCGTTCAAGTCCTCTACGGGGCGGCTTGATTCACTCCTACACAAACTCATCCGGAGCGGTAAAGTTGAATCGCTCATTTCACCCCGAGCCATTTACTCAATTTTTACCAGAGACGAGATTGGTCAAATTGATTCGTCTTTTAAGGATTACTACGTCTTGTGCGATGAAAATGAATTCCCGAAGAAATACAGACAATTGCTGCGCCGTTAAAAGAAAAAAAAAAGGTGGAATTTTGTCATTCATTTTTATTGGAAGTTTTATTCAGACATGGTATACTAATTTTATGATATTTCCGAAGAACATTTATAACAGATGTTATAAATTTAAGAGACGTAAGCCCACTCATTTTTTTATAAGATTTTATAGACTTCCGATACGATGTTACAGAACTAGAAATTTATCCCGAAGTTCATCATAAATGTATAATGGTTCACTTTTGAGGCTTAAATGGCGAACAGAATGTCGTAAACGTTTATCTTAATTCGAGGAGAAATGGAATTGTGCAGTTTTCACGCTGTAAGTGGTTTATTTATCTATCTTCAAGACGAAGTTAACCGAAGGCGGATCAGTTTGTTCTTTCGGAGTATGCCAGCGATTATTAGCCGTAATAACAGATCGCGGTCTTAGGGTACTTACCCGCAAAGAAAACTCGCGGTTGCGAAGTTGGTGCACCCGGAGGTTGATTCGACGGCGTTGGTGGCGCAACCGGTGCCGCAAGGAGGTCGTAATCGCTTCCTGAACTACCGACGGCCACGAAGCTGTACGATCCTCGAGCCCAGGGATCGGCTCGCCATCTTGTGACGACACTTTCCCGGGGTTGCGGTACCACTTGATTTCCAAAAATACCCTGTTCGAGAGACGAGAGATACCGGATAATCCTCACGTGATAAGGAATATTACCAGGGAGGAGGTGCACTCGCGTACTAGGGATTACATTTTCATGCTACTTTTTATGAAAGTAGGTTAAGCATCCGGAGTTGAAAAGTTTTTACGATGCTCCAAGGGAAGGGGCGCACCGAGGACCTTTTCCAGTCCGAATTTGGATTGCTAAGCTGCAGGAAAAGTTAACGGATAAAAGAAAGAGTTCGTAATGGAGCTCACCTTTAAGACGGCTATGCAACGACCAACGATAACGTCATCGCTGACATTTTCCATGACGCAGGCCGCTTCCCCGGCAACAAGGGCTAAAAGGACGGGCGCTTTGTACAAGTTCCAGAATAAGAAGAGTTCACCTCGGGACGCGGTCGTGCTGCCGACATGTCCGAAAAGGTTCGCCGTAGGGTCCCAGAAAATCCGCTCGAAGCAGAGCACGACCTGTGGGGGAAGAAATTTGCGATATCGGTTTTCTAAATTGAGACTTTTGTCCGCCGTCCCGATGTCGTTCACCGGCTTTATTTTCTATTCCCGATTGAATGTGGCCTAACCGTTTTGGATTCCTCAACGTACAGAGAGTTTGACGTGGACGAGGTGATATTTTGCCAACGCTAAATAATTGAAATTCGTTGCCATATTTGAGAAAAATACGTATCACCAGCGGCAGATTTAAACGGGTTTATTCGAGTGAAATAAGTACTCTGCGAATTGGCAAAATATTTCTTTCCCCTCGGTGAAGTTAAGGGTAACGAGAAGTGGTTAGGTTTACTTTATTTAGGTTGCCGAATCCAAGTCTCTGGATCGCTTGAGACTTCCAGTCCGGAAGTGGAGGATTAAACGCAACTGCGGAAGGCGGAGCCGACGCTTTGAGGACACCCAAAGGAAGTGTAACTAGCACTGCATCAGCCTTGTACACAGTGTGAGTGGTGTGTGGACTTCGGGAAGGTGCAGCCCAAACTTCAACCCCGTTTGTGCCATAACGCACTACCCTGGCGGCCACGTTCAGCCGGATGTCCAGTCCCTCCGACAACGCGACGGGGACGCAAGAGTAGCCATTGCGAACTGAAATATTAACACTAAATTAATTTACCGTGGCAGTGGTTGGGGAAAGGGTCAAAGCAGAATATCATTTTGCAGAGATTTGTCATCAGTTGGCACTCCACCCTAAATGTACAGAATTCGTGACAATCTGACCGAAGTATACGAAAGTCCAGTTGGCCGGGGCTATACCTATCGGGTAATACGCCATAATTCCTGGGTCGTGAGCTTAGAAAAACAGCCTGTAATTACGTGTCACGCGATTGCAGTGTGCCCGGGCCGGGATGAAAATAAATTACATACAATTAGGGAATTTTTAGACGAACCCCGGGGGAAATTATTGCGCACAAACGAGGATATAATCGACGGCGAGCGATCGGCCGAGAACTTTATTTCAAGCCCCGGGGATGTGTCTACATAATCGGGGCAACAGTTGCAAATGTATAGTTGAAATCCGCATCTACTTTGGTTAACTAGAGCGTTCTCCAAGCCCATGCGAATGCGGTTAACTATATACGGTACGGAATATTGCTGCAACATTTCTGAAACATAACTGGAACGCAACTGTGATATATATCAGACGTGTGGACCATTTCATGGATAATGGGTCATATACGTCGCATACCACTTATCGCATTATAACAATACAGTTGCGGTTCATAAGTTACGGATAGGTGATAATTTGTGCTCAGCAAACCCTAGCGAATGAGAGTATCGTGTACACTGCCATTTGGCTCTGGCGAAATTACCTACATGCTACCTTCGAGCGCAATTTTCGGGACATAAATTTACCGTGTACGCTGTTTCAACCATATTCTGAAAGATATTAGTCACGCGACATGACAAGTTGACGCAAAGTATCAATTTACGAAATATAGATGAAATAATGGCTCGAGGAGCAACGGTAGCGAGAACGAGGCGCGATTAATTTCCTCTTCCATAAAGAAAGCAGAATTGCGATGAAAAATTTTCAGGCTCGCTCAGGGGGGCTGTAAATTAATATCCTATGAATTGAACTTTTCTAAGTTGCGAGAAATTTGAAATACCTTCGGTGGAATTAAATCATAAGCCTCTACGCGTTCATTCTTCCTTAGTTTCGTAACGTGAGCTTTTTGATTTCGGTTTCTACCAGTATTGCCAGCCAATTTATTTCCCGCGGAGCCGTTTCTTCGCGTACTGCTTGCACGGCAATCATTTCTCCGAGAATCCTATTAGCAAATGGATATACGCCGAGAAATCGCGTAAAGATAAATAACACCGTAAAGTGTCGTATAATGGCGAGACTCGGTGGTGGTCCAAAGATGCTGCTTCGATCGAGGAGCTCGATTCATTCGAACGTCTAGAAAGTTCTTCCCCCAAAGGGTTTCTAACACTTGTCAGACTCGTGAACTGTCAACAACAGGACTTATTTCGAGGGGTGCAATTTCGCTTTGACATTACACTTGTAAACGGTAACGAGGCTGTAGTACGGTCACGACCAAAGTGGTAGAAAGTACGTCATTTGCGATGCACGAGCTTTGCCTAGTCCTGCCATTTAATTAATCGGTTTATAAATATACCATAGGCGAAGCGGTAGGAAAGGACTATAAAAAATGAAAAATCGCGCCACGTTTAATCTTCCTAATCCATAATAATTCGGCACCCAGGCGGAAAAACACAAATGCATTTACTTTATTAAGTTTACCAACTCGGATTGAAGCGGCCTCCACCGAGTTTTTCCATCCTCTAGTCCGCACGGCGAACTCGCTTGCGTCTGTTAATTAAAATCCTCCTGGCATTGTGAGTCGAATTCCGAAATGAATGGCGCCCGTCTAAACGGAGTAACTTAACAGATCAAAGAGAGTGTCCCCTCGCAAAGCTTAATTCAATTTGAATTAAGTGAGCGCCAGCGTCTCGTGCGAATCCGGCAGCGTAGCGCTCCGTAATTTCTTAATTCATCGATGTTAAAACCTCGCCGAGGAGTTAAACGGTAATAAAAGGCTTGATCCTTGAGCTTACGAATGCGCCTTCTGAAATAAAAAGGGGCGAGAGGGGCCGCGCGTTCCCGATATAAATTCCGAAATTAAACGAAGTTGACTAATTTGAAGGAGGCCCGTGGAGGCACGATTCCAATACCGCAGCGGTCCCGAGGCCGATCTATCATGTCGAATAAGGATGCTTCATCCTTTTTCTCCGGTCGGCTAAAAGTGTATTTGTAATTTCAAGGGGAATATATCGTCCGTACTTCAATATGTCTTCTCGCGAAAGGTGCGGCACCTACGCGATGCAGTTTCGAAGATTCGTGGCCCTTACGGTGCGCACTGTGAAACGCATAACTCCACGGTTTGCCCGCCGCGGACAGGCAATCGTGAGTTAAAAATAGAGACGTTTCGACACACCATTATTTATAATATTTCCGACCTCCCCTTTGTTTCTCTTCGGCGAGTATTTACTGCCTGTAATTCTGCTCCGCACTTGCTCGCGAGGAAGGCGTCGCATCGGACGGTGGCTTGTTCGATCTTCGACGGGAGGGGAAAAGAAAAAAAAAAGAAAGAACGAAGGGAAAGGGTTTGATGCACGCCGCGTTTCTTTGAATTTTCTCCCATTACTTATTGCCACCGCGGTACCGAATCGAAAAACTTATTAAGATAACGGATTATCCGACCAAGGTGATCCCGGTCCGACTCGTTACGCGTTTCTCCCCGCCGACGACTAAAAAGAGTTATTTATTCAGCACGGACAGTGGAAAGAGTCCTTCGACCAAAAATCCAATATAATTGTTGCGCCCACTTGAGTCTTTGTTTGTCATCGTCGGCGTTGAAAATTGACAGTTTCTAGAGGATAAATGAATATGCCGGCAATGCTTACCAATTACGTAGCAAGTTTAAGGTGAAGTGAAACACGTCGAGGAACTTGATCGACGTCGATAAAGAAAATTTTTCTAAATGCCTACGTTGCCAACGTTCGTTTTTATATTGACAGCTAGGTCGAATTATATTGTGTATTGTACCAAATGGCATATTCCACCTGTCGTTTTCGTACAATAATTATAAAGAAATCGAAGTAAAACTCCAGAAATCCTCTGGATTCATGCCTTCTGGGGCCCTAATTGACTGCGGAGGGACCCCCTGCGCCATCTGTGATTTCCAGGTCAATTAAATTTTCACTCCGAGACCTCGTATTACCACCGTTTTAGCAAAGAAGCGCATACAACACTTTTTTTGCCTTTATCCCATTCAAATGCGAGTTTATCGATTACCAGAGTGTTCTAAATTCTCGTAAAATTGTCCTGACCCTTTCGATTCTCATATCAGAGCCTTCGATAATTGTATATTGATCGAAATATGAGAGCTCGACGCCATTTTGGTTCTGGTCTGGACTGAGTTAAAAGATTTTTTTGAAAGATCCAAATTTTGAATGTGTCAGGACAATTCTTAGATGATCAGGAGCGATGTGTCAAAGTTTCGGACAGTTTGGTCTAATACCCTTAAAAAAAAGTGTCGTATTCGAATCGACTGATTTGAAGGATGTTTCACTTCACCTTAACGGGTAGATAAGACATCGATCAGGCTGCAGATCGGTGAAAGTTCCGCGATCTGCACTCGAGCAAGATGTTAACGATGAACGAGCATTATTATCGATGCAAATCGTTTCTACAAATGACGTGTTATTGGAACGTACCTGCTGAGGGAACGGTCTGTCGGCGAATTGTATCAATTGATACATAACGCACGAATCGTTCGAACAGCTGATTCGATTATGAAAAGCACCAGATGGAGAAACGTGGTCGGTGAGATAATACGTTGAGGCAATGGTCGATCGTGGAACGAATCAAACTTCTCGGCTGCAATTCAGATAGTTATCAATGTTCGCTCTCCCGGTATTAGCGATTTTCATAAGCATAAGTGTAGGTCATGCATGCGCGCAATATCCTTCAGCAATGCGAGAGGCATTTCATTCAGAGCTCTCCTTCATTCAGGTGTAGCCGGAGCGAAGAGAGACGACGTTACGTTTCCGAGGAAATGCAAGTGTCCGTCGTATCCGTCTACAATTAGAATGACTGGCTGCGTGATATTTACACGATCACGTTGACTTATTTCAAGCTATAATAAACAATGGGGGGAAAGTAAAATATTTTGTCGAGTTTAAGGTGCAGTGAAACATCCTTCAAATCAGTCGATTCGAATACAACACTTTTTTTTAAGGGTATTAGACCAAACTGTCCGAAACTTTGACACATCGCTCCTGATCATCTAAGAATTGTCCTGACACATTCAAAATTTGGATTTTTCANCGCCGCCCGATGGCGCAATCAAGCGCGAGCCACCGGTGGTACGCGCCGGCGTGAACGTGTTAAACGAGTTCCGTCAGACCGCTTCCATTCTTCCAGTCGTTTTGGTGGATTTCGAGATTTTATGAATGAAATGTGCATTTACGGTTCTAGAATACCACGATTCATTTTTCATAATTAACGCTCGCCGCACGGTAAGGAGCGTATCCGCGAGAGGAGGGGGATAAGGAAAGAGAAAAATGATTTCATGAAGTCGTCAGGTGGCCGCGAAAGGACGGAGGGATTGTTTCGGCGAGGTCGGATGGCTCGTAGCTTATTAACTCGGTCATAGGGGCGGCAAGTCTCGCTTAGCGTCGCCTCTTAGTCGGAGGATCGGTTTTAACGATTGGGCAAACTCGTTACCTGGACGCAGTGCGTACGGAACTATAGATACGGGCCATAAATCAGGACTGTAAATAGGTACGCGCTATAAATCTGTTACCAATGACCGCGCAAAAAAGGGCCTCCCTCTCTCTCTCTCTCTCGCGTTCTCGGTCTCCCTGTCTCTCCGTCCGGTGGAGCGGCAACAAAAGGGAGCCCGCCGGGGAAAAGAAGCGAGTCCCGAAGTTCGCGACAGGGAAAAGGAGAGGAAAGGGAGTTAATCCGCCAGGAACGGGGATCCCGTCTATCCGGGGGGCTTTCTCTCTCTATCTCGCTGTCACTTTGCACCTCCGTCTCGCCTCTTGCCCCCACCCGGCACCGCCTTATGTTTGAT